TGTGTTATATAGATTATATAGTGAACTTAAAAAATCTTCTTGTGAAAAACCACTAGTCCAATTTCAACCAAACTTGGCAGGAGAAGGGCTTCCAAAGTTGTTCAAAGAATTTCATTCCATACAGAAATCTGGTTACCATGGCAACCAAAAGGAATTATAAGAATAAATTTAAAAAATCTTCTTGTAAAGACCCAAAAGGCCTAGAGCTTAGATATTTTGCATAAGGCATTGTCTGGTAGACCTCTACCAAGATTGTTCAAATTTTAGCCCTGGGGTCAAAATCGGCCCCGCCCCGAGGGTCATTGATTTTCACTATATGTACATAAAGTAAAAACTTAAAATACCTTCTTGTAAAGACCTAAAAGGCCTAGAGCTTAGATATTTTGCATAAGGCATTGTCTGGTAGACCCTTACCATGATTGTTCAAATTATATCCCTGGGGTCAAAATCAGCTTCGCTCCGGGGGTCATTGATTTTCACTATATGTACATATAGTAAAAACTTAAAATACCTTCTTGTTAAGACCCAAAAGGCCTAGAGCTTAGATATTTTGCATAAGGCAATTTACTGGTAGACCTCTACCCAGATTGTTCAAATTATAGCCCTGGGGTCAAAATAGGCCCTGCCCTGGGGGTCATTGGTTTTCCTAATATGTATATAGTAAAAACTTTAAAAAAATATCTTCTAGCAATTGACAAATGCTAGAGGTTAGATATTTTGCATGAAACATTGTGAAGTGAACTTCTAGCAAGATTGTTCAAATTACAGCCCTGGGGTCAAAATTGCCCCCGCCCCGGGGGGTCATTTATTTTCAATATATACATATAGTAAAAAATAAAAAAATCTTACTGTCTGAAGGTACAAGGCTTAGAGCTTTAATATTTGTTAAATGATATCATCTATAGGTACTCTACCAAAGTTGTTCAAATTTTGCCTCTAGTGTCAAAATTAGCCCTGCCATAGGTTTTCCTTATATGTATATAGTAAAAACTTAAAAAATCATCTTCTCTAAATTTACAAAGGCTAGAGTATGAAACATTATGTAGTGAACCTCTAGCAAGATTGTACAAATTATAGCCCTGGGGTCAAAATTGGCCCCACCCCCAGGGGTCATTGATTTTCACTATGTACATATAGTAAAAAATTAAAAAATCCTCTTGTCTGAAGGTACAAGGCTTAGAGCTTTGATATTAAAAATGGTTTATAATATCAGCTATGGGTCCTCTACTAAAGTTGTTTTAATTATGCCCATAGTGTTAAAATTGCCCTGACCCAGAGGTGATAGTTTTCCTTAAATGTATAAAGTAAAAACTTGAAAAATCTTCAATCTTCTGACCTAGATTTTGACAAAGTGTCGTACTGTGTTGTCCTTTGATGAAGTCATGAAATTTAGGCTGTGTGAAATATGACCTTCACCACCAAATTCACTAGACTCGAGTGCATTGATATATTCCTACTCTGATCTTTTATTGAGTTAACAACAGATTTAACCGCTAATCTGATAATAAGAATTAGATAGGTCAGGGATCTATGCATTATGACAATCTTCAAAATGTAAAGGAACAAAAAAAATCTGTATTAATGCGGTGGCATAGCATTTTTCTCAAATGCAATCTTGTTTCCGTACATGCTTGAATCAAGCAGCTTGATACATTGTGTTATTTTAAAATGTATATCTTGAAGTTTTATTCAGTTATTCCAGAAATTGTAAATTTATGAAAACAAGAACCTTCAAGGAATAATGTTCATAGCAATTAAAATCAAATCACTTGTATGAAGGTACCTCCTGTAGATTTGTGTTGTTATGTTTAGATGCTATAGTCAGTGTTCCTGTTCCTTTCAGAATCCATTAGACGGTAAACATAAAGTCAGAGTGGCAGTTGGAAATGGGTTAAGGGCAGACATATGGGAGAACTTCAAAGAGAGATACAATATTCCAAATATTTGTGAATTCTTTGGGGCAACTGAGGGGACAATAGCATTAATGAATCTAAGCAATCGTGTTGGATCATGTGGGAGATATTCTCCACTTATAGTATGTTTGTTCTCAATTTCTATGTTTATGTGTTCTACTCTAGTAGTACATGTTAGGTTTATATTGTACCTATTAAGGCTGTTTATTGTATTTTATATTATTATTAATGCTCTTCCATTTACTGAGGGTGACAAGGTGGCTTATCATAAAAGCTTACTCATACTCCATTTGTACATTTCTCAAGGAGTTTCAATCAAACTTTCACGAAACTATCATCATATAATGCCCTGGAAGGTATTTCTTGAGTTTTGTGATATGATGGTTTTTTTTCATGTGGAATTTTTTTTCTACCACATCTTTGAACATGTGTTGGATATGGAAGAATGTCCCTTCTGTGTACAGCCTTTTCTACATTTAAGAGTTTTTAATGAAACTGTCACAAAACTAAGTGCACTGGGGAATATTGACCTTTTTGTGGTTCATCTATAATTGATGGGAAATCTCTTAGGTTTTATTTGCTGCACTTCCATTACCTTGATTTAAATTTGACGAGTTATTTTCCTTTAGTATGTTTTCTTTTCAATTTGCATTTATATATTTATATACATGTATATATTATTTTATGGTTTATTGTGTTTAGCAAATATTAAAATTTATCTGTATCAGATAATCAAATATTTTATGTATATTAAATTGGACGTCTTGCCTTTCCATAAGATGTTCCCTTTTTCTATCATAAGTCATTTTTGTATAAATTCACTTGAAATTCAGTTTATGACTATCATTTATTAATACTTGTATGTTCATAAACTGTGTTTTTGTTATTACAATTTATGTGAAAAACAGATGGTAAATGCTTAGAGGCTACTTTATTGGAAAGCAGTTGAACTTATTGAGGGTTAAATGAGTGTCCCAAACAAAATGTCTTTTAACCAAATGTTATAGAACTGCAATATAATGCTTTGGTGGAATAAATTCTCTAGTGAAAAACAAAACATTTTCTGGAAGAGTTTTACTTTAAATAGTTAAGGTTCAAGGACAAAATAAATATTGTGAAAATGGTCAAATGACCACAAAGGGGTGGCTAAGGTTTATTACTATATAGCCAAAACTTGTTAGATCTTTCACTGATTCATAAAGGTTTGTAATTCATAATTTTAATATATAATTTGCATGTGCCCATGTCATAAATCCACATTGTTAATTAGACAAACACTTGCTACTGAATTACATCATGGAAAACTTGTTACTAACCATAATACAATTTTTATTGTTAGCTATGTGTTACTTTATTATGTATGGTCGTAATAGTGGGTTGATCATTAAAATCGGATGCATCATAAGGCGGGCCGGTGGGTGGGGGGGTATACTGTATACTCTCTGTGTGACATTATTTTATCAGACATTGTGTCTTATGGTCATTGATATCTCACCATTGATTCAGATATCATGTGAGATAAGTAGTCAGTCACTTGTGCAGAAATTGTGTATACTACTGGTTAGTTATCCAGGAAATTCAACAGCTAAACTTTGACAAAAAGGATGTGTTGAACTTGTCTTTAAAAACCAACTTAACATATTTTTACTTAATCTACATGTATATGTTATTTATATATATATATAGATTAAGCTGTAGTTAAGATATGTAGGTAGAATTGCTAGTACTTCATACCAAAAGTTTATATTCCCCTTAGTTATGTACATAGTTGAACCCATTTAGTATCACTGACTTGTTAAATACAACAGCCAGTATAATACTGTTGTCTCATTTTCTGTCTGCCGACAAACATTCCATTATCAATATTCTAGAATAGGTAGTATTACCTTAACAATAAGATTGCATAAAAATGTAATATTTCTTGCTGCATATAAGATAATCTTAATTTTTCCGGGTCATAAGTCATCTCCGGGAAGCCTCTGTCACAGTCACCTGATTTACACGACAGTCCCGTACATTAGGGGTGTTGAAACATGTATATTTATATAGACTTTTATAGCAAAAACATATCTGAGACTTTTTGCGAGAAACTACTATGTTCAGAGCTTACATAGGATGAATTATAAGTTCAAATTTTGTGTGACTATGACTGAGGATTCATTAACAAAATGATATGAATTTCTGTAACTGTAATTTTAGATATATTTTGTATATTTCTGAATGACACAGTTATTCTATTATCACCTGTATAAATGTTTTAGTTAAATGGTCTTCACAATGTTTACAGAATAGAATGGATCCTACACCAAAGTTGCTTGTAAAGGTAGAAATTGACACTGGGGATGTAATCAGAGATAAAAATGGACATTGCATTCCTGTCAAAGTCGGTAAGTTTTTATTTTGCCATTTATACATTAGTCATAGATGACAAAATACTTTGCATCTACATTTCTACATTGTAAAGTGTCAATTAAAGAGATTGAAATATTGAAATAGTCATATGATTAAGGTATACATGTACATTGTTAAACATTATGCCATTGTTTCTCAAATCTCCTCGGCGTGGCAATCATGTTTTTACTTTTAACACAAGTACTGGTTTGTGAAGAAAAATGTGTATTTAAATTGATTAGCCTAGTGTCTCTTTTACCCTAAGAGTATTATATTTATATAAAATATATGATTTAATCAGTTAATTTTGAATAATAATAGCAGAAACTTTAAAATTGATTTGTGTTCCCCCCCCCCCCCCCCATAGGGGAGCATTTAGATTTATGCACCTGGGGTTCTGCTTGTGGATTCATTCTGTTTTGTCAGAGTTGTTGCCCTTGCCTTAGTAAAAAAAATCAATTTTCAAGTTGTGTCAAGTGTAGGTCAAAAAGTAATACATGTATTGACTTAGAGTCATGAAACTACAGGAATGTTGATCAAATGTGAAGTTGTGCACCTGGGGTTTCGCTTTTGAAGAAATTCTGTTTTGTCCTAGTACGAGGGATGATCAAAAATAAACCGGACTGTGACTGTCAATTGAAGAATTTTCAACCTATCAATTATTGTTATATATCACACTTAATCGGAAAACAATACCACTGAATTGATGCTTTTCCTAATCTGATTAAGCAAAAAGTTTGTCCGTAACAGCGAATTCAAAAACCATGGTAACGCACACCCGGCGCAGTGCGTAAATTTGCCATACATCAGGCGCTTAAAGCTGCGTATATTTAACAATATGGAACATTTAGATTTCAAATTACGCCAAAACGTCATGCACCATATCTTTGACATTGTCATTAAAATGACTTCATTTAAACCATATTTATATTTGCAATCACAATTCAAACGTCACATGCTAATGAAATACTCCCGTTAAAACAATGTCATCGGAATGTCTCGAAAATCGATCAATAAGAACAAATTGTCAAAAGTAAGACGAGAAACTGTTTAAAACTTAAAAAAGATTATGGATATCAAGGGAAAATTTCCATGAACCCACAACATATTTTTTATTAGCATAAAGAATTAAGAAAGGGTAATAGAGAAATAGAAAAGAAGTAAGGGAGAGACTGAAAAGAGAAATTTTCAAGAACGTTGTTGACGTCAAACGCCAAGAAATGACAGCCGAATTACTGCGGACATTGTCAACGATATTCGACAGTAGCTACAGGGCGGTGCAGTCTACTCTAAGGAGTTTAAAATGATAATAGATAATGCATTAATTACATAAATTATATTGTATTCTTGGTTTACAATTGTATCAATTATTTTCTTATTTTACGCAGTAGTTTTATGGAGAAATTGTGTCAACAATTAGACAATCACTGTTCAAAATCGGCTATGCGTATTATTTATTTAAAAAAAATGACCATTTTGTTCATAGTTGTATTATTCTTCTATTTTTTCTAATGTATAATACATTATCATTCCGCAACATTATTTTACATTATTTGTAATTTATAATATAGTTTATTGCTTGTGCGATTTTTCCAACAAGTTACAGAAGGAAAGAACGGAATTTTGCGTCATTACAGGAGCTTTTTATCATCATCTATTATTTTATAATATAATAAAATACCCATTTGTACAGAAATATATATAGGCAGTGGATCTGCCGCATCAACAACATGACTGTACCACGTATTTGCCTACACGTGAATGAGTGAAAAGCTGCTCCGTTAAAGAAAATACGTTTGTGACGTCGTTAACATCATTTTTAAAATTATACCGTGCGCCGCATTGTTTTACATCAACATGCCAATAATAGCATAACTTTTTTCTGTGTTTATATTTCTTGTTAGTATTTTTTGTATCATTCAGGGGATGGATTCCGATTTATTTTCCATGTATTTTTATGTAAATTCATTTAACAGGTAAGGAATCATTTACAAAGTCCGGTTAATTTTTGATCATCCCTCGTAAAATTGGGCAATTTCAATTTGTGTCTTGCATGGCTCCTGGGGATTTGCTTGAAAATTTGTAATATTCCAAAGTGTTAAGTTATGTGTACCTTGAGTGCTTGAGATAGAACTTTGCAGGAATGTTGATCAACATGTGAAGCTGTGCATTTGGGGTTTTGCATGTCAATTTTTATTTTTCAATTTTGTTAGAGTTATTGCCTTGACTTAGGATAAATATGCAGTATTCAACAAGTTTAAGCACAGCTCAAAAAGTATTTGACCTGTAGTCCTGAAAGTTTACTGGAATGTGGATCAGATTTGTAGTTATGCACCGGGGGTTTGCTTGTGGATTTATTCAGTATTTGTAGAGTTTTTGCCCTTGACTTAGTAAAAGATTTGCAATTTTCAACTTGTGTCATGTGTAGCAAAAAACATATTTGACCTATAGTCAGTAGATTGACAAAACAGTGGAGTGTGGGGGCACCGTTGTCCTATAGACACATTTCTGGTTTTGTTTATGACATAAGTATTGGACAGAAATATTTACAGTGTTTAAAACATTTGTTTGGTTTGTCAGGTGAACCAGGACTGTTACTTGGTGCTATACCATTCTACTACCAGGACATGCAGTTTTATAAAGGAGGGAAAGAAATCAACGAGAAGAAAATACTGAGGAATGTTTTGAAGGAAGGTGATGCTTACTTTAACTTTGGAGATATGTTGACAATGGACTCTGATTATTTTGTCTACTTCAAGGACAGGATAGGTGATACATTCAGGTAAAATATGTTATATTAGGAATGATTGTCTTGGAGTTATGAAAGATTAAGGTAGAATTTAAGTGTTTGTAAAGCCAAAAAATGATTAAATTTATTATTTCAATTCCTTTTATAGGTCAAACAGATCTTTAAGTATGAGCAGAATAAGGGAAATTCCTTTAAGATCTTGAAATATAAGATAGGAAAATATCCAAAGTTTGTGAATCTTTTTGATGTGTTGATGAAAAGAAAACCTATATGGTAATAATAAATATCTATTTGAGACTATGTAAAGAGATAGTTTTCATTTTCGTCATAGAGTTTTTTTCTTGATCACAACAAAAAATATGACAAATGAAAAAAGTCTTATGCAATTAATATGAATATGGACTTAAACTAGCTAATAAACTACAAACACTAGCTTTTTTGTATCAAAGATGCTTCAATTGATCGGTTTAATTAAATTCATCTTGCTATGGAAACATTAAATAATTGTACATAAATCATTAAGAGTGAGCTTTATGTTAAAAGTTTAATATTGCTATGAGATATGATAGTTTTTTTAACACTCATAAATTAATACCCTGTCCTTGCCCTGTTAAATCTGTATAACAAATTTATCCGGCTGTGACTTTGCATCTGTGCATTTGAAACATGAGTTATTACAAAGAAAAAAGCTAGAATTAAAAAAAAGCATCAATTCAATTCCATATTTGTTGCATTAAACATGATATACATATTTATAGCAAATAATACATGAAATACAATGTAGAGATACAGATTACATTTTGTATTCATATTTTCTTATTAATAAGTAGATCTATAATAAGTCAGACAGAAGATGTATACTCTGGTATTGTGTTATCATTGTTTAATACATTCACATGTACTGGTATTTTCAGATGGAAAGGAGAAAATGTTGCTACATATGAGGTCTCTAATGTCCTTACAAAACTTGATGTCATCCATGATGCTAATGTATATGGAGTGGAAATTTCAGGTTTGATCATTTAAAGCTTTATATCTACATTGTATACCCAACAAAACTTTATAATGGGACTTGTCCTGCTTTTAATTTAGATCTGTCCATTATTAGTTAGAGAGATTTAACCCTTACTTTGCTAAATTGCTTATTAATAAATAGACTTTTCCATCTTAAGTGAAAATTTCAAAATGTTAACTGACTGAAAGCAAACATTGAAGACCATGAGTGATCTGCACAGATTACTTTGACAAAACTGACTTGTATTTGTACAAGTACACAGGTAAATCATGTTCAACTGGTATATGATACTGTAACAAACAGAAAAATTAAAAAAAAATGTACATTGAAAAAAAAAGTTATAAAATAAATCAATGGCATGTATTTTCAGGGTCGGAGGGTCGTGCAGGGATGGCGGCCATTCATTTAGAAGACAATGTTACAATTACACCACAGATTCTGAAAGACATATTTCATCATGCTAAAGAGAATTTACCAAGTTATGCCAGACCTTTATTTCTAAGGTTTCCAAAAGAACAGGCTGTTACAACCACACTTAAACAACAGAAAACACAGCTTAGAAAAGAAGGTTTTCAACCACAAGATATAGATGACCCACTATATTACTATGATGAACAAAATAAAACATATTCTCCATTAACGGTGGACACATATGGACAATTCCTGGCAAAATCCAAATTGTAATTAAGATTATCAGTGTAACAGCAGTAACTATATCTAAACTAATGAAGAAAATGTTGTACTTTGACTGGTATATATTTAATTGTATTTATACTCGTATATTTTTAAATCATTCCATCATTGACACAAGGTAAAATGAAAATGTTTAAAGACAGTATTATTTAAAAAAAAGGATTACAATTGAAACTGAAAACTTATTATTTAATTTCATATTAAAAGATATACATATATAGATTATATATAAATTTAAAAAAAACTACCTCATCACTTTGTCAATTATTTTGCTCAACTTTACAATGAATAGTGGAGCTAACACTTGATTTTTGTCTTGCGTAAAATGTCATAATTCATCAAGTTCTGAATATTTTCATTTGAAACTGTATATTACACTTCTTTAAATAATAATTGTAGATCTCTGATCAAAACTGTATATCTGGTATAAATTTGTAATAACTCATACCCAATTGTGAGCTAAGAAAATTTCTGGTTAAAGTTATCTTTTCAAATGATATCTTGACCAAAAAAAATAACAATGCATTCTAGATATCGCCTATATCTCTTTTGTTTTCAATATAGATCATTTACCAACACCTATAATTCAATCTTTTGCACTAAATTATTACCATCTGAGAGCTTGGATAAATTCTATGTTAGTCTATATTATCAAGGCTGAGTTTTCTGAAAATCAGAATAGCTTAGAGCACTTAACTATTGAAGGCTCAAGATTATATTGCATTTTTATTCAAATTTTGAAATATGTGATCTTTAATACCTCCATCTTAAAACAACAGTATGATTTTATACTAATGTTTTGAATAAATCTCCAACATTCCATCATAATTTTTATGTGTTATCAAATGTTTCATATTCTTAATCCAGAGCTCAGGGGAAACATGTTAAACGGTTGTGATGTTTGTTTAAATTTACATGCTTTACCTTTGACTTTGAAATCAAAAGTTAAACTTACTGAGTCTGTGATAATTATGTTTTTATTTCATAATGTGTATTCATTTACTGACACTATTAACTGACACTCTCACTACCAATCTAGTATTAATTTTTGTCAAGTATCATTATGTAAGCATCAAGAAATCCAATGAATTATGTTATGTATTGATTTTTGTTTTGTTTTTAGCTTACCTGTCACAAAGTGACAGGGTGAGCTTTTGTGATCGCTTTTCGTCCGGCGTCCGTCCGTCGGTACGTCCGTCCGTCCGGCGTCCATCCGTAAACTTTTGCTTTAAATGACATCTCCTCATAAACCACTGAGCCAATTTCATCCAAACTTAACAGGAATGTTCCTTTGGTGGTCACCTTTAAAAATTGTTCAAAGAATTTAATTCCATGCAGAACTCTGGTTGCCATGGCAACCGAAAGAAAAATCTTTAAATATCTTCTTTTAAACAACCCTAAGAGCTAGAGCTTAGATATTTGGCATGAAACATCTTCTAGTGAGTGTCTACCAAGTTTGTTCAAATAAAAGCCCTGGGGTCAAAATTGGCCCCGCCCCAGGGGGTCATTGATTTTCCCTATATGCATATAGTAAAAACTTAAAAAATCTTCTTTTAAAGAACCCAAAGAGCTAGAGCTAAGATATTTGGCATAAAACATCTTCTAGTGAGTGTCTACCAAGTTTGTTCAAATAAAAGCCCTGGGGTCAAAATTTGCCCCGCCCCAGGGGGTCATAGATTTTCCCTATATGCATATAGTAAAAACTTAAAAAAATCTTCTTTTAAAGAACCCAAAGAGCTAGAGCTAAGATATTTGGCATCAAACATCTTCTAGTGAGTGTCTACCAAGTTTGTTCAAATAAAAGCCCTGGGGTCAAAATTGGCCCCGCCCCAGGGGTCATTGATTTTCCCTATATGCATATAGTAAAAAGTTAAACAATCTTCTTTTAAAGAACCCAAAGAGCTAGAGCTAAGATATTTAGCATGAAACATGTTCTAATGGGTGTCTACCAAATTTGTTCAAATAAAAGCCCTGGGGTCAAAATTGGCCCCGCCCCAGGGGGACATAGATTTTCCCTATATGCATATAGTAAAAATTTAAAAAACTTCTTTTAAAGAACCCAAAGAGCTGGAGCTAAGATATTTGGCATGAAACATCTTCTAGTGAGTGTCTACCAAGTTTGTTCAAATAAAAGCTTTGGGGTCAAAATTGGCCCCGCCCCAGGGGGTCATTGATTTTCCCTATATGCATATAGTAAAAAGTTAAACAATCTTCTTTTAAAGAACCCAAAGATTTAGAGCTAAGATATTTGGCATAAAACATCTTCTAGTGAGTGTCTACCAAGTTTGTTCAAATAAAAGCCCTGGGGTCAAAATTTGCCCCGCCCCAGGGGGTCATAGATTTTCCCTATATGCATGTAGTAAAAACTTAAAAAAATCTTCTTTTAAAGAACCCAAAGAGCTGGAGCTAAGATATTTGGCATCAAACATCTTCTAGTGAGTGTCTACCAAGTTTGTTCAAATAAAAGCCCTGGGGTCAAAATTGGCCCCGCCCCAGGGGGTCATTGATTTTCCCTATATGCATATAGTAAAAAGTTAAACAATCTTCTTTTAAAGAACCCAAAGAGCTAGAGCTAAGATATTTAGCATGAAACATGTTCTAATGGGTGTGTACCAAATTTGTTCAAATAAAAAGCCCTGGGGTCAAAATTGGCCCCGCCCCAGGGGACATAGATTTTCCCTATATGCATATAGTAAAAATTTAAAAAACTTCTTTTAAAGAACCCAAAGAGCTAGAGCTAAGATATTTGGCATGAAACATCTTCTAGTGAGTGTCTACCAAGTTTGTTCAAATAAAAGCCCTGGGGTCAAAATTGGCCCCGCCCCAGGGGGTCATTGATTTTCCCTATATGCATATAGTAAAAAGTTAAACAATCTTCTTTTAAAGAACCCAAAGAGCTAGAGCTAAGATATTTAGCATGAAACATGTTCTAATTGGTGTGTACCAAATTTGTTCAAATAAAAGCCCTGGGGTCAAAATTGGCCCCGCCCCGGGGTCATTGATTTTCCTTATATGTGTATGGCAAAAACTTAAAAATCTTCTTTGAAAAAACCCATATAGCTAGAGTTAAGATATTGAGCATGAAACATCTTCTAATCAGGGTCTACAAAGTTTGTTCAAATAAAAGCCCCAGGGTCGAAATTGGCCCTGCCCCGGGGGTCATTGATTTTCCTTTTTTGTGTATAGCAAAAACATAAAAATCTTCTTTGAAAAAACCCAAATAGCTAGAATTTGGATATTAAGCATGAAACATCTTTTAGTAAATATCTAAAAGTTTGTTCAAATAAAAGCCCGGGGGTCAAAACTGGCCCTGCCCCAGGGGTGTCATTGTTTTTAACTATATGTGTATAGTAAAAACTTAAAAAATCTTCTTTTAAAAAACCCAATGAGCTAGAACTTAGATGTTTAGCATGAAACATCTTCTTATGGGTGTCTACCAAGTCTGTTCGAATAAACAAATAAAAGCCCTTGGGTAAAAATTGGCCTGGGGGGGGGGGGGCGGCTATATACAGGTGAGCGACCTCAGGGCCATCATTGCCCTCTTGTTTTTTTTTGTTTTTTTTTTTGTGAGGGGTGGATTAATTTTTTAGTTTCTATACACATATATATGTATTGTTTAAACTAAGATCATTGATTCTAATTCATTAAATTCTGGCATGTAATTTATAAAATGACGTATAGATTGGTAGACTTTGTGGTATTTACAAGTGAAGTTAATAATATGAGAGCAAGTTATTTACTGTCATTTATTGTATTGTTGGGGGGAATCAGAATACTGTGAGGAACAGTAGATTTTGTGGGATTTACAAGTGTAGTTAATAAAGATATTAGAGTAAGTTCAAGGTTGTTTATTATTACATCGGTGACTGTGCTCATGGGGGACCAAAAATTTTAAGTAAGCATATTGCTAAACCAAGGGCAGTAAATACCGGTAATCTGTATCTTTATAATTAAAGTTGTTCAGATCATGTATAAGTAGTTTTAAATCATTTTATATTAATATTTTGTTGTGAAATTCTTGGAAAAATTACAACTTTGTGTTGATTCTGACAATTGTGATGTTAATTTATGAATATTCATGCATCTGTATTATTGATTCAGTATATTTTATGTTACAAATTTATGAATATTCATGCATCTGTATTATTGATTCAGTATATTTTATGTTACAAATTTATGAATATTCATGCATCTGTATTATTGATTCAGTATATTTTATGTTACAAATTTATGAATATTCATGCATCTGTATTATTGATTCAGTATATTTTATGTTTCAAATTTATGAATAGTCATGAGTTTGTGTTGCAGATTCATGAAACTGCATATACAACATATATATGGTTGAAAGCTAATTAACTTTC